GGGGAGGGAGGGGGGGACGGAAGGAATAATGAGAAGTTATTGCTTAATAAGCACAGAGTTTATGTTTAAGATGATGAAAAAGTTTTGGAAATAGATGGAGGTAGTGGTTACACAGTATTGTGAAAGTTATTAATTCCACATAATTGTATGTTTAAAATGCTTAAAATGGCAATCCTTATGGTATTTTTTTAAATTCAAGACTAATTTATTCTCAAATTTTGCCAACACAGAAGGAAATAATTTCCTTGAAGAAAAGTACATTAAATAAATCTTTCAATTCACTTTAACATCTTTTGGTTGAAACTTCAACTGTAATTCCAGTTGCAATTCCAAAACTTCAGCTATAATGCTCGTATTCTCAGTGCTAATTCTTAAACCTCATCCTGTATTTTAAGATAACCTTTTCCCTCTCCTTGGGCCAAACCAAGATAATCCAAATACAGTAAAAAAATAGTTTGGGATCTTGAGTTCTAGGCCGTTCAAAACCTCTGCCAAAAGATTATATTTACCTCCAGAATACAGTGGCAGAACAACCTAATAATCCAACAGCCAAGGATAATCCAGCCGGCAAGAGCTCGCGAGTCCTCCCCTCATTGCAGAGGGAGGCTGTGAGGCGAGGTCCTGCAGCTGTCCCTAGCCAGCGGCGGTGCACCCAGGCGACTGGAGCGCACGGTCCTGCCTAGGTGGAGAGGACGAGGCTGGAGGTAGGTGCGTAGACCTCGGAGCCAATGTGGAAAGAGCGGCTGTGAGGCTGCAAACACATTGGGTGCTCTCTGCACCTGAGGAGGTGACACGCTGCCACACCCGTGATGTCCCAGGTCCCAGAACCCGTATCTGCACTCTTTTCTGACGGGCTGCACGGCACGGAGCTAAGCCCACATCCTTCCTGGCCTCTGCATCTTGACCTCGATCGAGGCCGCAAGGGCCGCTCATTCTGGCCAGTGCTCGCGTCGGATTTTCCCAGGTCAAGTCACTTCAGGGCTCAGGTTCCCGCGGGCACCCCCACTTCCGCCTCTTTTCCGCGGGGGAGCACACGCAGGCGCGCTTGGCTGGGACGGCTCCCTTCCCCCCGCGGCACCTCACCTCCAGGGCTCCTGCCGCGAGAGCCCCCAGCACCACCCACCGGACGCCGATGCCAGACCCTTGGGCTCCAGTGCCCCGCAGGGCGGCGTGGGCTACGACCCGAGTCACTTGGGCCGAGCAGCGCCCCTGGGAGAGCGCTGCTGCTGCCTGCCCCACAGGCAAAGACAGAAGGTCGGGGGCTCGGGGGTGGGGGGTCGGGGGCTAGTTTGGGCCCGGTGTTTCGGAGGATCAGGGTCTTGGGGTGCTGGTTGGACCGGGAGCTCCTAGGTAGGGCTGTGCGCTACCACCACGTAGCCGCCGCTTCCCGGAGAGCAATCCTTAGTGTATATTACCACAATTTAAAAAATATGAATGAGATTGAGTATCTTATGTTTATTGTCCATTGGTATGTTTCTCTGAACTTTTAAAATATGATTTTTTTCTATAGAAAAAATGCCTTTTAAAGACATATAGAATAAACTTCAATTATAATAAAAATACTCTAAAGTTATATGTACATATTGCTGAACTGTCACTGTGAGACAGTTGGAATTTTCTGAAAATGGATGACAGTTGATATGCATTAAACATATTATCATTAGTGGTATCATTTGCTGACTGTAGTCTCTAGTATATTTCTTGTATTTTTTGTTGTTATATATTCACTTACAGAAAGAACATTGCAGGGCAAATATCAGGTCGAGACTCTCTTAACAGAATCCAGGGGTTTTTCCATCTCTCTGAGCCGTTTCTGCAGCTGAAGCATTTTTATGATTGCTTTAGTTTTTTTACTTGGTGTATTAGTCAGTTTTTGTGTTGCTATAGCAATACCTGAGACTGGGTAATTTATAAAGAACAGAGGTTTATTTGGCTCATGATTCTGGGACAGCTGCATCTGGCCCAGGCCTCAGGCTGCTTCTACTCATGGTGGAGAGCAGCAGGCAGCCAGCGGGTACAAGCAGATCACATGGCAAGAGGAAGCAAGAGAGAGAGGGGAGGTGCCAGGGTCCTATAAACAACAAGTTCTCCCGGGGAACTAATATAGGGAGAACTCACTCACTATCCCCATCCCCCAGGGAGAGCATTAATCGGGGGCTAGTTTGGGCCCGGTGTTTCGGAGGATCAGTGTCTTGGGGTGCTGGTTGGACCGGGAGCTCCTAGGTAGGGCTGTGCGCTACCACCACGTAGCCGCCGCTTCCCGGAGAGCAATCCTTAGTGTATATTACCACAATTTAAAAAATATGAATGAGATTGAGTATCTTATGTTTATTGTCCATTGGTATGTTTCTCTGAACTTTTAAAATATGATTTTTTTCTATAGAAAAAATGCCTTTTAAAGACATATAGAATAAACTTCAATTATAATAAAAATACTCTAAAGTTATATGTACATATTGCTGAACTGTCACTGTGAGACAGTTGGAATTTTCTGAAAATGGATGACAGTTGATATGCATTAAACATATTATCATTAGTGGTATCATTTGCTGACTGTGGTCTCTAGCATATTTCTTGTATTTTTTGTTATATATTCACTTACAGAAAGAACATTGCAGGGCAAATATCAGGTCGAGACTCTCTTAACAGAATGCAGGGGTTTTTCCATCTCTCTGAGCCGTTTCTGCAGCTGAAGCATTTTTATGATTGCTTTAGTTTTTTTACTTGGTGTATTAGTCAGTTTTTGTGTTGCTATAGCAATACCTGAGACTGGGTAATTTATAAAGAACAGAGGTTTATTTGGCTCATGATTCTGGGACAGCTGCATCTGGCCCAGGCCTCAGGCTGCTTCTACTCATGGTGGAGAGCAGCAGGCAGCCAGCGGGTACAAGCAGATCACATGGCAAGAGGAAGCAAGAGAGAGAGGGGAGGTGCCAGGGTCCTATAAACAACAAGTTCTCCCGGGGAACTAATATAGGGAGAACTCACTCACTATCCCCATCCCCCAGGGAGAGCATTAATCCTTTCNGCAGGCAGCCAGCGGGTACAAGCAGATCACATGGCAAGAGGAAGCAAGAGAGAGAGGGGAGGTGCCAGGGTCCTATAAACAACAAGTTCTCCCGGGGAACTAATATAGGGAGAACTCACTCACTATCCCCATCCCCCAGGGAGAGCATTAATCCTTTCCTGAGGCACCTGCCCCCATGACTCAAACAGCTTCCAACACTGCCATTTTGGGGATCAGATTTGCCCATGAGTTTTTTTTTTTTTGGGGGGGGGACACGTCCAAACTCTATCACTTGGTTTATATAGGGGGAAAAGCGTTTTTTTCCTAATTTAATGAAAAGTGTGGGCCCTACAGTCAGACAAACCCGGTTGTAGAGCTAGGGCTAGGTCTCACAGACCCCTCAGCCCGTTCACGAACTGAGCCCGTTCACAAATGTTTCACACGCAGGTCTACAAGCTAGGTAACAAGAAAAAGGTCCTTGGAGCCATGGCTGAAGAAAAAATAGTCTTTATTTCCAGATGGGATCTCTGCTGATCAGCAGTTCAGAGCCTTTCCTTCACACACAGTGAAGAGCGCACAAAAATAGAAACAAGCTAAAAATATAGGTCAGGCATGGCACTAACTCCACCCCCACACAACTTGTTTACAAAGAATGTGCTGCACCACACCCAACCAGAGGGAAATGAGGGGGCCTGACTAAACTACTTCATTTTCCTCACACCTGGTGATTCTGTTAGAGAACCTTAGAGACATTCTTGGATTGTCACAGTTGGAAATCATTTTTTTCTCCTCAGATTTCTCATTTACTTCATATTATTTTCTTGGAATAATGTAGAAGGAAAGTTCCTTGGGGGCAGGAATTAAGATTTTTATTTTCTTTTGCCTTCTTTACTGTTTTCCACTGAGAAACTACTTAATAAACATGATGAATTTACTTATTTAAAGAAAAATTAGGGGTCATAGGTGAAGTCCATGGGGCACTTTGGAAGGAAGATTTTATACTAAGACCAAATGTAAAACTTCAAATTTGTCCTCAGTACTTTCTCCTAACAGACACGGTTAAAACACCTAAAGTGTTGGGTGCCTAAAATCAATATTGTTTTCTTTTTGAAAAATCATTAATAATTGAGGTAATTTGCAGATTTTTTTGAGTTCTGTACCATACATTCAGACATGTTTCTTATAATAATAATCTCAAAGATTCTTTCAGTTGGTCTCATGAAAGTCCTCATTTTCTTGTTTCTTGTCAGGTTATTCTGGACTTTATGAAGCCATTGAAAGTTGGGATTTCCAAAAAATTGAAAAGTTGGAAGAATATAGGTCACTTTTAAAACGTTTACAACCAGAATTTAAAACAAGCATTAATCCAACAAGTATTCTTCCTGAAATATCTGAATGTTTAATTAATCAGGAATGTGAAGAAATTATACAGGTAAGTTAATATAAAATACTAAATATGGGGGAATAATTGGAACATAGGAAATGTCTTCTGTTTTAGACCTCAGAAAGATAATTGAGACCCACAAAAATCCTCATATCTAAGGCATAAGTACCTAGAATAGTACTTTTAGTGTGAATTGGGTAATTTTTCTGTTACAAAATTTTTTTTCAGCTTTGCCCTATTTTCAGTTAAAATTATTACTTTTGCGAATTATATTTTATGCAAAT